CTTTTTCAGTATTCTCCAGCAATCTTTGGTACTGCAGGTTTCAGCGCCGATATGTATTGGCATCCCCAATGATGAGCAGTAACTCCTAGCGAGCCTCCGCTTATACCCATGATGTCTGTTTCTTTGCATTGCATCCAGTTATTATTGCATAACATTACATCCTCAAAAGCGCGTAGCAGATCCATCAGAATGGATCTTTGTGGCAAAAGAAATTAAAACATGCATACGAAGCATAAGCCAAATCATGTACCCTACACAAAAGACCTGAATCATTCAAGGACAACAATACATCCCTACAAGGGGATATCATTCCCAAATCCCCATCCGGTGACCTTCACTTTCACAATTCCCAATAAAATCAGTACATTTTGTCATTCTAAACCTAGTTTTCGTCTGGTAGTCAGTCTCATATGACAAACAATTCAGTCTTTCAATACTCTTTTGTGTTGATTCAAACACTCGTCCGTGTTTAACCTTTTGGTACTCTTTTGTATCTTCTTTCAATAACTTGTCATGTTTAACCTTTCTTGATACTCATCTGTATCTTCTTACGATACTCGTCTGTATTGATTCAAACACTCGTCCGTGTTTAACCTTTTGATACACATTTGTATCTTCTTTCAATACTCGTCCGTATTAATTCAAACACTCCTCCGTGTTTAACCCTTCCTTGATACTCGTTTGTTTCTTCTTTCAATAACTCGTCAGTGTTTAACCTTTGTTGATACTCGTCCGTATCTTCTTTCGATGCTCGTCTGTATTGATTCAAACACTCGTCTGTGTTTAACCTTTTGATACTCGTCTGTATCTTCTTTCAATACTCGTCCGTATTGATTCAAACACTCTTCTTTGTTTAACCCTTCCTTGATACTCGTATATATCTTCTTTCGATAATCGTCCGTATTGAGTCAAACACTCGTCCGTGTTTAATCTTTTGATACTCGTCTGTATCTTCTTTCAATACTCGTCCGTGTTGATTCAAACACTCATCCATGTTTAATCTTTTGATAATCGTCTGTATCTTCTTTCAATACTCATTCGTGTTAAGTAAAACACTCGTCTGTGTTTAATCTTTTGATAGTCGTCTGTATCTTCTTTAAATACTCGTCCGTGTTGATTCAAACACTCGTCCGTGTTTAATCTTTTGATACTCGTTGGTATCTTCTTTCAATACTCGTCTGTGTTGATTCAAACATTTGTCCGTCTTTAACCTTTTGGTACTGGTCTGTATCTTCTTTCAATAACTCGTCCGTGTTTAACCTTTCTTGATACTCGTCCATATCTTCTTTCGAGACTCGTCTGTTTTGATTCAAACACTCGTTCGTGTTTAACCTTTTGATACTCGCCTGTATCTTCTTTCAATACTCATCCGTATTGATTCAAACACTCGTCTGTGTTTAACCTTTCCTTGATACTCGACTATATCTTCTTTTGATACTCGTCCATATCGATTCAAACACTCGTTTGTGTTATACCTTCCTTGTATTGGCATCACGCTACTTTACAAGTCTGATCCCTTCCTTGTATTGGCATCGTGCTACGTTACAAGTCTGATTTCTTCCTTATATTGGCAATACGCTACATTACAAGTACGATCCCTTCCTTGTATTAGCACCGTGCTATGTTACAAGTTTGATCTCTTCCTTGTACTAGCATCACGCTACGTTATAAGTCTGATCCTTTCCTTGTATTGGCATCGTGCTACGTTACAAGTTTGATCCCTTCCTTGTATTGGCATCGTGCTACATTACAAGTTTGATCTCTTCCTTGTATTGGCATCATGCTACGTTACAAGTATGATCCCTTCCTTGTATTGGCATTGTGCTAGGTTACAAGTTTGATCTCTTCCTTGTATTGATATCACACTATGTTTCAAGTCCGATCCCTTCCTTTTATTGGCATCGTGCTACGTTACAAGTTTGATCCCTTCCTTGTATTGGCTTCTTGCTACGTTACAAGTTTGATCTCTTCCTTGTATTGGCATCAAGCTACGTTACAAGTTTGATCCCTTCCTTGTATTGGCACCATGCTACGTTACAAGTTTGATCTCTTCCTTGTATTAGCATCACACTATGTTACAAGTCTGATCCCTTCCTTGTATTGGCATCGTGCTACGTTACAAGTTTGATCCCTTCCTTGTATTGGCATCGTGCTACATTACAAGTTAGATCTCTTCCTTGTATTGGAATCACGCTACGTTAGAAGTTTGATCCCTTCCTTGTATTAGCATCATGCTACGTTACAAGTTTGATCCCTTCCTTGTATTTGCATCACGCTACGTTACAAGTCCGATCCCTTCCTTGTATTGGCATCGTGCTACGTTACAAGTTTGATCCCTTCCTTGTATCGGCATCGCGCTACGTTACAAGTTTGATCTCTTCCTTGTATTAGCATTATGCTAAGTTACAATTTTGATCTCTTCCTTGTATTGGCATCATGCTACGTTACATGTCTGATCCCTTCCTTGTATTGGCATCATGCTACGTTAAAAGTTTGATCTCTTCCTTGTATTTGCATTACGCTACATTACAAGTTTGATCCCTACCTTATATCAGCATCGTGCTACATTACAATTTTGATCTCTTCCTTGTATTGGCATCGTGTTATGCTACAAGGCTTATCTCTTCCTTGTATTGGCATCGCGCTACGTTACAAGTTAGGTCTCTTTCTTGTATTGGCATCACGCTACATTATAAGTCTGATCTCTTCCTTGTATTGGCATCACGCCATGTTACAAGTCTTCTTTGTCCTTGTGTTTACATCATGATACCTTCCAACACTCATCGTGTCAGCCTCTGACACTCGCCGTGTCATGTTTTAAACACTCGTCGTTTCAGCCTTCGACACTCGTCGTTTCAGCCTTTGACACTCGTCGTGTCAGCCTCTGACACTCGTCGTGTCAAAATCTAAACACTCGTCATGTCAGCCTATGACACTCGTCGTGTCAAGTTCTAAACACTCTTCGTGTCACCTTTCTAAACACTCGTCATGTTAGCTTCCGAAACTCGTCGTGTCAAGTTCTAAACACTCGTCGTGTCACCTTCCAATCTCCATCTCTTCACTAGAAAACAAAAAATTCTTTCCCCAGCAGATACCACAAAAATAAATAAACACTTATACTCTCTCTCAGGACAAATTTTAGGCATTGGTATTTAATCATCTTCAACTTTGAACTTTCGAAAGGCACGCGCCAATTGTACTTTCAGGTTTAAGACGATTAAATATGGGCAGTTGTAATACCCCAAATTTGTCCTACCCTTTGCTTTTATCTAGCTTACACATCTTGCACTCTTCATTTCATCTGCATACACTACATTAGGTCATTTGACATGTCATGCATCATTAATCAATAAGCTTAGCATTGGATCCATGGTTTTTATGAACATGATTAGGGTTTTGTCAATTGGTTGAGGTGTATATGTTCAATAAAGCTTATTTTTTCATGTTATTTTTCCAAGGCAGTGAAATTGTGGGATTAGGGTTTTGTGTTCATGGATGTTGTGAATCTTTCTTCATCAAGCTACAAGGTCATCCTCCATCAAGAATTAATCAAGCACAAGTGGACTAGTGTGTCATATTTTCTATGTGTGAATTTGTAACATTTATCAACTAGGGTTCAGTGAGTTTCATATTATATTTCTTTCTATACTTCAAGGCGCCCTCAAGGCATTGTTATTATCCATAAAATCAAGATATAGTGTGAATTGGATTGCAAAATGCAAGCCATGGTACAAAGGTGATATTGTGGACGTATGACGTGACCAAGGCATTATTATTTGTTACTTCGATTACAAAAGATGGGGTTAAGGGGGAAATTAAAAGTTGTTGTGAGGAGGCGAGATTGAATTGGTTTGTCTTTTATGGAATCGTTATTTAGAGTCATTCTAAGTGCTACCTAACGTCATGGATTAGATTTGTTTGGAGTTTTCGAAATAAGAAGGGAATTTAGATTTCTTGAAGAACAAGTGAAATTATAAAAGCATTAACGAAGTATGGTCATGACATTAAGCTAGGTTCAAGTTGAATGTAAAATGGTTATAGCCAAACAAGGTTTATTCAAAGGGAATCCATAATTCTCGAGACAAGTTTGTAAAACCAAACAACTTAGTTCAATGTCTATCAAGGGTTTTTACAAATTCATTCAAGTGTCCAAGGCATTACCAAGGTCAAGAAAATCTCATTCAAGTTCTATTTAACTTCACACAATCATTACTCATTTTTACAAAATCATTACAAGAAAATATACCGAATATTACAAAGTTACAAATAAATCCAAGTCCCATGAGCAAGCCTTTTCCTACTTTTCACACCATGAGTTGAGTCTCCATTTAACTTGATACTTTGCTTCTTATCCAAGTCAATTCTTTAAGCCCTCTGTCGTTCTTCAACTCTTCATAGCTTGCATCATTAAGGAAGAAAATCTCAATTAGGCAAAGTTCAGACGACCCTGCAATCTATAATTGAAAATGCAGCCTATGTTCTAACTCATACATTAGAGTTTAAAAGCATTTAAATATGGACATCTCTGAACCTGCGTCACAAATGTAATAAGACCGGAAAAACACCAATTCAGTCTGCACCTCTGTCCCATGAAATCCATGCCTAAAAATCATTCTAAAATACCTATTGATGCAGACACAGAAGTAAACTTGCAGAGAAAAACCTAAGCATCATTGTGTTCAAAAGGTAACACTAAGTTGGTCATGAGCAAGCAATTCGCTTTTTTTGATAAGCCTGCAAATTTAAAAGACGACACATTCAAGTTGACGCCCGCATGGTGTTCAAAGAAAAGCTAGAATTCATGTCAAACAAGTTCAAGCAAACAACAGTTTCTAACAGACCTGCATAAATTGATAAGCAGAACCAGTTCCCTAGGCATCCGTAAAACAGAAGATGAAATCAGGCTGCTACCAAAACCAGCTCCTATCTTAATATAACGGTTGGCCTGCAGGAAACTGATAAGGGATTAAGTCAAAAATACAACAGAATCCTAACAGATATCATAATAGAAACTTCACAAAAAAATCAGGAACTCCCCTCTTTCTATGAACCTTTATCAACTCCGACCTCCAATGCACGGTTTCCTCTTGCACCAATCTTCTGCAACTTCTCAATGACCACTTCACAACATCACCTTTAATAATTCTCAAACCACCTGCTACTGCTTTATCCCTCTGCATCTTCAATCAATATCGGCAACACCTTCAACCACAATCATGCATCTTGATCATGCATCATACACCTAAATACCTTACAAAACAGAATTTCAACCAACCTTTTAACAGCCAGCAAAGATAAGTTTTAACCTCCAAACCTCATTCACCCAAACCTATAACTAACAGAGCTCTAACAGCAAACCGTCACCAAGAACAAAAACTAACTTCAAAAACTGTCATGTAACTGTTTCATAACGACCTTTAATCAGGAAATTACAGCAGATAAAATGATAACATAATTCTAACTGTCAATCCCTAACTGTTTTACTAACCTGTAACCAACTACCCAACTAAACCATAACAGAAAAAACTATGACCCTGCAAACTCTCACCTTCAGAATCTAAAACCAGAATAAACTCAAACAGAATTGCTAACAGACTTGCAAAACTTTTCTGCTCCTAACTGTCATAACCAATAACCAACCAATTTTCACCCAAATTTCCAGCAGAACCCAGCCTCGTCCGTAACCCCTCTAACTGAAACCCTCTAACAGATTCTAAACCTATCTGTAACAGGAGGTAACTAACTTCTAGAGCTTTAAACCATATCCTAACCAACTTGCTAACAAATCCAACCAACTTCTAACCACCAACCAACAAACTTCTAACTGAAATTCCCTAACTAATTCTCAAACAGAACTCAAATTAGCTCTAAGTGAATTTTCCAAACTGAAATCCAACCCTCCATCTCATAACCAAATTCTGAGATCCAGTGGCTCAAGGATTCCCTAATCAATCTATATAACTGCACCTTCTTCATTCATCATGATCATCCACTAACATTCTGTATTCTCCACTCTGCATAATATTCATACATCATTCAGACCCTCACCACCATTTTTCATCTTTCTTTTCATCAGTTTCATACGAACCTTTCTCCTTCAATACTCAAGCCTCACCCTACAACCCCTCTACAAATCTCTCACCTTCATCTCTCAATCAGGATCACCTACTCAATTCAATCCTCAAACTTTATGTTCACGGAATAACACAGTAAATCCAAGAACACAGAAGTTGAAACGCATAGAAGGCATCCAAAGCAAAGAGAAGAAGAAGAAAAGTAGAATAAGAAGAGTTGAATATAGAGCTAAAAATACTAAAACAAGAAGTTATTGTAAGAAGAAGACGAAAAAATTGAAATACCTGAAGGTTCATAATTTCTTCGACGTCGCCTTTCAATTTGAAGAACCATCAGAGGTACTCCGAGAGGTAAGCCTTGATCTCTATCCCTTCTTTATACGTTAATTTCAATTTGTTGTATTCGCCTCTCCTCTACATATGTAATTAGATTTAGGGCTTGGCTTCATCTCGATTTTGAGTTGTTTGAACAGAGTGAGTAGATTCGAGTGTGAGATATAGGGGGAAAACCGATGAGAGGGCAAGAAGAGGAAGGTTAAGTTAAAGCCACCACTGTGTTGAGAAGAAAGGAGAGCGGACAGAGAAATAAGGCTGAGGTGAGGTCTTTCATGGTGTCTTGCGGTGTTTTAGATGTGTACGCGATGATTATGAGTTCAAGGAGAATAAATGTGAAGCTGCAGCAGATCTCGTCTGGGAAGAGAAGGAACAGTTCCTCTATTTCAGTTGAAATTTGGTGGTCATACATCGTAACCCTAGCGATAATGATGCCGTTTTACCCGATTTCATTTCACTTTCCTCCCAATTGATAAAAAACCTGATTACAGGGGTGATGGATTAGGCTTATGGTTTCTTGGACCATATTCTATCTTAGGGCTAGGCTCATTGGTCTTGCATTTTTTATTTGCACTGGAAGACCTTACAAATAGAAGATTATTACCAGACTGGTGTGCATCTTCTCTTGGTCCATTTGGTCTATTTTTTGGGGTTGGTATCTTGGATAAAAAACTGGCTTATTGGACCGTTCCCTTTGGGCCTGCGCCATTGTTACTACAGCAAACACCCTAATTGTAGTTCCACACTACCTCTGACTTTAGAAGTTTCATAATTTCTTTCGTTTTTCTTTTTCGTAATTTTGTCAATAAAATACATAATAACGACATAAAAAAATAGATTTTAGGAATTAAATAGGAATATATTTCCTCTTTTTCTAACTTTTAGTCAATTTTAATCATTAGTTTTGTTCATTTTATATCATGTATTTTGTTTGCAATTTTCGAGTATGGATCGTTGGCTATATTTTAATACTTGCTACCAATTTTACTTGTTTGTATAGTCTTTAATGGTCCCTTAGGATATTTTGGTTCAAATTCAATCTTAGATTTAATTGAACTAAGATTAGACATTAGGATTCTAAATCCAAGCATGCAAATGTTAGGTAGAATTCCCTCAAAATTATAACTTTAGGTCCAACAATGCACGAAAACATTAGGTTTAAAATTAGTCTAGTCCCCCCTTTTAACCTTTTCCCCCCTTTTTGCATTTTCATCAAAACGAAAACTTCTTTTTCCTTTCAAACTTCAAAATACTTTAAAATTACTGATGAGAATCATGCCTTTGCTTAGTATGGGAAATGATAAGCGAGTCTCTTCTCAATCTTATTGTTCTTCCATCTCAAGCCTAGGTGTGGGTCAAGTCTTAAAGACTCCTTTCATGGATAAGTAGAAAATTGGCTAATATCTCTCTCTTGAGGTCAACTTGTCATTATCTGTAACAAAATACAAACCAATTCAAACCTTTTGGTGCACCCAACACCTTTTCTCTAAAATCCTTTTCAAGTAAGGACATGATTAGTTTACTTTTGTGCCAACGCGTGAGTCTCCAAAGGTCGAGCTGCGGCAGAAGGTGGAATTAACATCGTCCATAAAAAATGCAAACCAACAAAAACATTTAAAGCCGAACTACGGTAGCTCTAATTCCTCAAAAAGGATACGTAGGCATTGAGGTAGGGCCCAAGCGAGTACAATTTTATTTTCCCTACATTCTTTTCTCATTTCTATCGCATACATTCTCCCTTCAGTAATATAGTAAACAATAAGCATAGATTAAACACACCCATAAGATAGATAACAAGAGTGGATACCATAGAGTACTACGGGCGTGTGGGGTGCTAATACCTTCCCCTCGCGTAACAGACTCCCTTACCTGATCTCTCGGTTATAAGATCGTGAATTCTCCCTTCTTAGGTTTTCTCGATGTCCACCTTTCCATGTGGGATAAAAGACGTTTGATGGCGACTTCATTGTTTGATGATTTTCACCCGGTTGTTTCACCATCAGGCGTTGAACACCTTCCTTCAACAAATGGTAACCATTAGGTAGAGACAAACATAAGTGGCAACCTTCACCACAACCCAGAAATAAACCGGCTTGCAAAAGATTCTTTTTAACAGTCTAGAGTGGAGTAGCTAGTTCATCAATAGAAACAACAAACATGTCATCATCAATAGCATTAACACCACGATTGTGCTTAGGCATAAGGGCAGTTATACCATTAGGGGTCTCAAGAGCCTCAAATTCAATCTCCTTTGCCACAATCAAATCCCGCACCTTGTTCTTCAAAGCCCAATTATCGTTTGTATCATGGCCTTGACTTTCAGAATGGTAAGCACACTGAGCATTTGAATTGTAGAGAGGAGATGTAGTGTTTGGATTTTTGGGAGCCTCTCTCAGGGTAACCAAATTGGATTTCAGCGAATGTGGCAAAACTTGAGACAATGTCATATTAATTCGGGTAAATTGTCTTCTGGGCTTATCTGTTCTGGACTGATTGTTCTGTTGTTGAGTAGCTACAGGTTTGGATATCATTATAGCTCCCACCGTTGGACGGTGTTCGGTTCTGCCCTAACTTCTCTGGTTGTAAGCAGCATTGGCCTCTTTCTTTCCCATGAGAGGTCTCTTTCCTTCACTTGAAGAGGTATATCTTTGAATCTTACCACTTTTAATACCAACTTCCACTCTTTCTCCTATTAAGATCAGCTCAGTAGACCCAGCTGAAGAGCTTCCAATCAGATGGTTGAAAAACGGACCAGATAAAGTACCCAAGAACATGTCTACCAACTCCCGATCAGACAGAGGAGGTTGGACTCTTCCTGCAATGTCTCTCCATTTTTGGGCATAATCTTTAAAGCCCTCACTAGAATCCATAGACATGCTCTGAAGTTGTGTACGGGTTGGAGCAAGGTCAGCATTATATGGATACTTCTTGTAGAAAGCAGTAGCCAGGACTTCCCAGTTACGGATGTTGGTTCCCTCCAACTGATAGAACCATTCTAATTGAGTCCCTTATCGATTGTCTTGAAATAAATGCACCTACAAATTCTTGTCAGCAGTGTGCGGATGGATCTTCCTGACATAAGATCTGAGATGCATCTTAGGACATGAGACCCCATCATATTTAGCAAATGCGGGCACTTTGTACTTTTGCGGGATAACCACTCCAGAAACCAACCCTAGCTCTTCGAAATCCAGGCCAGGTACCCTCTAAACTTCCATGGTGTTGATACGGTCCTCCAGCTGTGTCTACTTATCATCAGCCGGGGGGTATTGTTCTTCAGTGTAATCAGCCTCATCTTCTTCAGACTCCCTCATACTGTGGTCTTCTTCTCTTGGATCTCATTCCTGATTGTCTCTCTCTTTTGACGGAGTTTCCAGCTCTGAAACATGCCTCATTGGTCCTTTGAACCTTCTTCCCATATTCAGAACACCCACTGACCTCTTTTTCTTCTTCTTGTCCTTGAGAATCAGAGATTTCAAATCTTCTTGTCCCTTAGCCAGATTTAGGAACATTTCTTGGAATTGAGCATTTTGTGCCTGAAGTTCCTTAACTGTTTGTTCAAGAGCCATTGCTGAAATATACAGCGAAGAAGATAAGAAGCTTGTCTTGAAACCTATTTATGTAATGATATGTATGATATATGTATGCAATGTTTTCAAGGACTTCAGGAAATTTAAATTTGTGAACCAAAATGAAACAAAGATTTTATTAGTAGAATTAAAAATACAATTGCCTTTTAGGCTTACAATTGAAAAATTCTAAAATCCAAGAAA